GCGATGTCTGATTGGGTGGCAAAGTGACGAATCAGAGAAAGATTGGATAGAATAGGATATGCCCAACTATTTCGAGAAGACATTTACACAGAGACAGAAAAAGCCAGACGCAGGTGAAGACAGAATGAGCCAGAGAATGAGAAGGATCAAGAAGATTAGAACAGATTGCCAAAGTTAGTATGAGGCCAATTCAGGAGAAACTGAGAGAAGCCAGATTGAATCAGTCGGCTTGGAGAAGAGTTTGAGCCAGAACAGAGTAGTTGAACGAGCCAGCCAGAGTTCAGAAAGAACAAGAAAGGGTGAGCTTACTCAGCAGTAAGTCTCAGGGGCTGAAAACGTTCTAGGCCTAGACTGGATTATACAGAGGCTAGAAGCTCCCAGGACGAGGCCGAGGGTTGCAGATGGAGTCAGTAAGCCTCAGAGATGACAGCTACAACTGGGACCCAAGTTACATTTACCAATGAGGTGGGGAGTGTATCAGCTAATTTTTTTACTCTCATGGGCCAAGTGGAATCCAGACAGCTGGTGAGTGGGACTTCCAGCTGTGTCAGGAGAGGCTCCTGAATTGGCAGACTGAGTGGGTAAGCTTGCCCTAATCAGCATGGGCCGTATCTAAAATGCACCACGGTCCCCACATGAGTATATACACACAGACAGACAGGCACCTAAGTAAAGAAATGTAACTAAAACCTTTTAAAATTAAAATGAAAAGGTAGAAAATGAACTAAGATTGCAACTACCCCCATGCCTTGTATCCTGATATATCCAGAAGTGAGCGAGCATTCGCTCAACACCAGGAGTTTCCAACCACAGTGCATCACATCCTCAAACCATGAACCCCAATAAATCCTTTTAAGAATAAGCCCTCTTCTTGGGTGTTTGGTCACAGCAGTGAGAAAAGGAACTAATTCATCGCACTCCCAGCAAACAGTTACACAACAATGACATTTCTTCCTCCTGTCTGGTGTCTCTGTGATACTTTATGTTTTGTAAAGTAATTTACCTTCATTATGTCAAATGTTCAAACACAATAACGGTTTTCAAAGTGTCAAAGCCCCTGTGTCCCTCTGGGCAACTTTCTCCAGCTGCGGTTTTTCAAAACAGACTCTGAGCTGACATCTACTCAGCTTAGAAAAGGCCTTGGCCACTCTGTAGGAGCCCGTGGAGCTCTTCCGTCTGCCCGGGTCTGAGTCTGGTCACCCTAGAGAACACTGTGTGTCAGTTCCAGGGAGGCCCTCCTACCCTGAGTTTCTCCATGATGAGCGGCTGTATCCAGAGCTCAGGGGAACAGGGAATATGATTAAGATCTTGTTACTCTTTCCTCAGAGAGAGAGAGAGAGAGAGAGAGAAAGAGAGAGAGAGAAAGAGAGAGAGAGGAGAGAGAGAGAGAGAGAGAGAGAGAGAGAGAGAGAGAGAGAAATGAATAGATGTGTATGTAGTGAGAGAAACAGTGAAATCTCAATTGGCAATTGGCTCACATGATCCTGGAGGAAGGAAGATGCTGTCGGCATCTGCAAGGTGGAGAACCGGAAGCCATGTTGTCTGAGCCCGTCCAAATGCCAAGGCTGAGAAAAGGAGAGTGGATGCTATCACTCTCTGTCCAAGGCCAAGCACTACCATCTATGGGCCTTAATTGGGTTTGGTTTTCTCTGCCAGCTAAAGAGTTCAAACACAGGGGACGAACAACAAGGCCACGCCTCCTAATCCTTCCCAAACTGTTCCACCAACTGGGGACCAAGCATTCAAATCTGTAAGTCTATGGGTGACATTCTCAAACCACCATGGTCGACACAGAGAATTCCTTCCTTCCTTCCTTCCTTCCTTCCTTCCTTCCTTCCTTCCTTTCTTTCTTTCTTTTTTTTTGTTTTTTTTTTGTTGTTGTTGTTTTGTTTTTTTGAGACGTGGTTTCTCTGTATAGCCCTGGCTATCCTGGAACTCACTCTGTAGACCAGGCTGGCCTCGAACTCACAAATCTGCCTGCCTCTGCCTCCCAAGTGCTGGGATTAGAGGCATTTCTTTTGTTCATTTTTTTTTAATTCTTTTTGGAGACAGGGCCTCCTGCTGCCCAGGCTAGCCTTAAACTTACTATGCAGTCAAGGATGACCTTAATTCCTGACCTTTCTTCTTCTCTCTGTAAGTTCTGAAATTAAAGTCTTCAGCTTTTATCTATCGTACGCCACGTCAAAATACACGTTCAATTGGAGCTTCACTCCCTCGGGCTTCTGCCATTCCTTATACATGCAGACGTCTCAAACAGCATGTAAGTGTGTGTACGTGCAAGCATCCTTCCCTCAGTGAACAGGCTAACCCCACGTACTGTGTGCTTACCTGTGGGCACTGGGAGTTTGAGTGGATCCTGAGGCCCCTGAGAATCACCTGAAGATTTCTGCAACCCAGATACTTGGCTCTGTTCAGAGAATCAATGATTCCTGAGGTCCAGGATGGATATCCCAAATTTGCAACTCTAGAAACTCCCTCGGGAACACTGAGCCACATCCTTTAGGCCGCCATGATTGGTCTCATGAGCAGAGGTCAGGGCCACAGAGTCTAGAGGTAGACAATCAAGTCGATCTGCTCTCTGTTAGCCGTATCTCTGTCACTCCTTCCAACCTTGATTTTTCTGTTCTGTACAATGGGGACAGTAACAACAATACCTAGTTTAAGGAGGGTTGGGGTGGGAAATATAGTTCAGCTGGCCTAGTATGCTTGGCTGGGGTGTTGGGTTTGATCCCCAGCACCATATTAAACAGTCACGATGGTTCTCTCTGTTATAGCACCGTGGAGAGGAGACGGGGGATCAGAAGTTCAAGGCTATCTTCAGCCACATAGTGAGTTTGAAGTCAGACTGGGAAAAATGAGACCCCATTTATATATAAAAGCTAGCGAGACTTGTGGTAAAGATTTTGTGTCCTTAGTCTAGGCAGTCAGGAGGCTACAGCATCCTGAACTCAGTTCAGAACAATTAGCGTTCTCATTTGTCCAGTGAAGTGGCAAAGCAAACGACCTACTTTGAAGGTCTGGGAGGAAGGAGTCTGGGCGTTTCCTAGAGATTACATAAACCCCCACAAAGTAGCCATGAACATTCACCAGACGACTATGCTATTGCAAAGCCTTAGCCTGTGCCATTGAAGGATAAATGACATGGGGGAATGCTGCCCCCTGCTGGCCTCACTGACTCATAACTGACAACTGTTGTCCACCTGACCTGGTAACTTCTATAGGCTTGTATTCTCTACACCATGAGAGCTACTTAGAAAGATATTTTTGTGAAGAAATTGGCACTGCGTGAGGTGATCTTTGATTATTGCTCTGACCACTTGACCAATTATGAGTCTCTATTTCACTGGGCTAAGCAGAGGTTGGTGTGCGAACCCTTGAGCTCCCCAGTGTGTGAATGTACAGTCACTCTAAGGGATCCCCAAAACCCTGTGGCTTCAGAGCCATCAGTAAGCACATTCGTATGTCTAGTCTAGTGATAGCAATCTGAGGCTCCTTTCTCATCTTAGTAAGACTGGCTAAAGGTTAAACTATTCCTGGGAGGTTCTCTGATGGTCATATTTAGCTAGCTTTCCGGTTAATGTGTGCTTTTTCTGGTCACAAAGTTAACAAGTCAATTTCAGGTGTTTTTTTAATTTTGTTGTTAACATATGACTGCAGCTTTATGGTGATGAGCCTTCTGTGGAGGCTGGGAGTTGAACTCAGAATCTCCAGAAGAGCAACCAGTGCTCTTAACCACTGAACCATCTCACTAGTACCTGTTTCCTGGTTTCTTTTTTTTTTTTTTTAAAGGAATATAAAACTATTTATTGACCACTGTTCACCATTATTTACAGTAAAGTAAATGTACAGTTGGATGACATTCTGATACTACAGAGTTACTTTTCTGGCTCATTGAACCAGAAGGCAAATACTGAAAAGATTGATCCTACCAGTAAGGAATGAGTCAGGGTAAAGAAAAAGCATGCAAGTCATTAATTGGTATTAGCAACTTTTGTTCACTCACTTAGTCAGCAGGTCTTAAATTGCCAACATTAGCTCCAACCATGATTCTATTTCCACATCAAACAGATTCCATGAATAATAACCTTTTAGTACAGATTTTAACTTTCTACAAAGGAATGGTTCACCAGAGGAACCTTTAGGCTGACTAGCTGAGCTGGACCTGCCTCTAGAGCGCTGGGACTAAAGGCATGTACCACCACACTAGGCCCAAGTCTTTTTATTAAGTCACACTACTACTTTGTTTAATTCCATTTTCTGAAGGTGGAGTTGGTATGGACAACATTCAGTAAATAAACTACTGTATTTACGTGATAATACATCAATTCTGATGTGGTTGCTTTTAAACTATCCAATAAATTACAGAATCTGTTTAATCTGAAAGGTTTCGGTTCCAGAAAAATGTTCACAATGAGGGAATCTCATCCACTTGTGTTTTCATCTTCAGTTCTTTAAGTATTAAAAACAAGACAAAACAAACAAGTCATTGTGTTTTATGCATACACCACATACAAACAAAGAAACTCAGGATGGTCCTTCTGTGTCCCAGTTAAAAATAAATTCAGACTGAGTAGCGACTGTAAAATCTCCCCAGCGGTTAAGAAAAGCCATTCTTCAAAGCTGAGGAAATGCAACATGGTATCAAATATTCTATTGTTAAAGGAAGCAACTACAGAAAGCTCTTACTTGCTCAAAGCAATCAGTGCCTTTTTTTTTTTAATTCTAACCATTTTTTTTTTTTTTTATTTATGAGTACACTGTAGCTGTCTTCAGACACACCAGAAGAGGGCATCCAATCTCATTACGGATGGTTGTGAGCCACCATGTGGTTGCTGGGATTTGAACTCAGGACCTCTGGAAGAGCAGTCAGTGCTCTTAACCACTGAGCCATCTCTCCAGCCCCCAATCAGTGCCTTTTGATGCAGAACAAAAACCAAAACTATCCCAACTACCGTCAATACTTTCAAAACCAGCATATCAAACTTGATTTTCATTAGAATGCTATTTTTTCCACACTAGTTATTTCAAAACCCAAGATCCAGACTTTATATATATATGTATAAATATATATATAAATGCAAACAATTATTGTGCTTCATCTTCAGGACAAGAATGCCAAGTCAGCCTTTCCTCATAGAAGGCAATGACAATCTGAGGACACTTCATATTTGCCTCCTTTGCCAGCACCAAGTCAGCCTCATCTGAGTCCTTCCATTTCATGAGAAACATTAATTCTCCACTGCTGTCTGTGGCACCAATTATTCGTTCAGGATCAAGACCTCTGGCAAAGCCCCTTGGTTTGTCAGCAGCGTCTCTCTTCTTCTTCGATTTGCTATCATCAGATTCACTGTCAGATAAAGATTTCCTTTTTGTACCATCTTTTTCTTTACCAGCTTTTTGAGAATTAAGAAATGCTTCAATTAATTCTGGACAATCTAAATTTTCTTCTGGTTCCCAAGTATTATCAGCATCTGTGAACCCCTTCCACTTGAGGAAGTACTCGACCTTCCCATTCACTACACGGCGGTCCAGCACTTTTTCTACCACAAATTCTTCAGGCTCTGCCTCTTCAACTTTTTTACTCTTTCCATTCTGTTTCTTTCCCATTTTTTTGCAATGTAGTTTTATTGGAGGCCATTTTTAAAATTTAATCG